CTGTCGGAATGATCTGGTATTGTAAAATAGTTTTTTTATATGTTGCACACCGGGTGAAAAGTCAGTCGTGTAACATCAACGGTCGCTCCTGTAAAATGGTGCCGGAATTAAAATTAATTGGAAATGAATTTTAACAATACAAGTTATAATCACAATTCTTATCAGCTCAACCAAAAAAAGAGCCTAGCTAAAAGCAGCTTAGCTTTCTTATTGTCTGGAGCGTAGCGGAGGACTCTTAATTTCTATGCAAGGTGATACCAAAATTCCGTTTTTGATGCATTATTGATCAGAATATCAAAAACGTAACCTTACAATTTCATCTGTCACTTTGTGCAACACAACAAATATTGCGTGATTGGAACCGATTGGCTGGCGTAAAAAATATATATATTTTTTATGCTTTGAACTTATATCAGTTTCCGATTCCTAGTAATTAGTGAGCTGTTAGCCGAGCAGAGCTAGCCATTTGCATCACTAGGTACACTATAAAGCTTGGCTTTCTTTTGGTTTTATGTACAAAAAAATGATGGACTGTATTATATGGTTAATGCAAAAATTACTAACGATTCGGCTTTTCTTGTTCTTTGCTTTAAGATATATGTAAAATTTTATACAAATAAATATCAATATGTAGACAGGTGTAAAAATGTTACTTTTGCACAGACTGATCAGGTTACAGAATTTAAAGTCTGTAAAAGTAAAATTATTGGTGTGAAGATACTTGAATGCAAACTGCATTAATTGTAACAAAATACCTTGCACTGGTAATGCAATTTTCAGAAATAAGAAAAGAAAAAAAAACCCCGTATTATCAATTTTTATTGCAGCCATTTGCCTTATATTTGATATAGATTTGATTGTTTAGTAATGATAAAATGCACTACTTATACATACATATGCATAATAATATAATATGAATATATAATATGAAAATATGAAATGAAAAGTATTTAATAGCTTGTGACAACTTGATTATTGGTCACATTAGATCCTTCAATTCTTCTAGGTGATGAAATGTCGCCTTTCTCATGACGAACAATCTTAGCATAATCACTAACAACTCTGGCGAAGTAAAACTACCAAATTCGAAAAATTAAACATTGAGTATTATGTATTTTTAAACCAAAATTTGAATTTAAACTAAATAAATTAAACATACCCCGAGAAAAGCTCCAACAAAATGAAGGATTATAAAGGACACAAAATAACTTAAAACATCATTTACAGCAGTAATTATAATCAAATAGATGCCATATAGAAAGTGAAGGATCACAATAAAAATAAAAAGTCCAGAAAGGATTTTCAAGGATCGTGGAGATTCCTATATTCAAAGCAAAAAATGGAATAGTAAATTAAATATTTTTAGGAAAGTACCAACAACATACAACACATACCGAACAGCAAATAACAATAAGTCCATATCCTGATACTAGAGTAGTTAAAGAGTTTATAACTAAAGCAATTATACCCGATGATCCAAGAATATCTAGTATAATAAATTAAAAACATTAGAATATATTTATAAATAAAAAGGAAACAATTAAATAAACATAAAAATTACTAATGTAAGGAGTTGTAAGAATCTGAATATTTTGAATAATGCCAAGTACACCTCCAATCTAATTACGTAGAAATCGACAATGCAGCTTTAGTTAAAGCATGAACTTAAAGAATTTATTTAAAATCATTAAAAGTGAAAATACCATAAAAAGAATTAATATAGTTATAACTCCTGCCCTCATAGGGATGCAGCCGCAACATTTGTTCATTAGAGCCATTTTCGATAACTTTTCAGTTATTGAACAAGTAAATTTCGCATTTAATTGATGTATTTATAAAGTTAAATCATTTGAGTCAAGTATAAGATTGTGTTATATACGTAATCTTTACTTAAATGGCTAAATGAAAAACTCATTGATGATATTATTTGTATATAAACTTTCAAAGCTTAGGTTATCAAAATAAAGTATAAATTAGTCATGCTCATTATGCAAAAGAATAAGGCGTTATTTTTTGTAGAACAAAGTATCATCAAAACATTTATAAATTTATCCATGTCATTTATACAAAAATTGTCAAAGTATCTTGAGAAAAATAATTACAATTAAAATCTAAAATTACTACGTTCTTGAAAGTACTTCTTGAATAATGGTATAAATGGATGTATGGCATTTTTGATACTGTAAAATTGGCGCTTGGTACTATTTTAATAAACTATTTATAAACTGGCACTATTGTATAATATATTTACAATTTAGTACAGGACTTTAAATACAAACTACATTTTTCATAACCATAACAATTTCTAATCAGTATATCTCACAAACATTGAGCATATCATAATATTAAAACCTTGAAAGCTTGCTCTTGTTGATAATTTTTATACTGTAGTAGTTATCTTTCGCTTTCTGGTAGGGCGTTTAAGTAGTTAAAGTGTGACAAAATTAAGATCGTAATTTGACGAATACTAGATGTGAACAAAATTCATTGTTTTTTAATGATTAATTTTATACCGATATTTATTGTATTCCTATTGTATTTTTTGCATTAAAAATTGTTCACTAATTGGGGTTGTCAAAAATAAATCAGCATTTGTATATTTTCCTTATTAATTAATTATATCAGTATTGCAGTGTGTTGACCTATATGTGTGAGCCAATCAGATCGTCTTTAACATGGCCGATATACAAATGAAATGACAAATTTATTCATTGTTTTTCCGATGACGCAAGGTTTCTAGAAACTTATTACTGCTTTAGTTAATTATTTTTATCACATTACCGGCACAATGTTTTCTAAGATGGTTTCTTGCATAACGAAATTGACTACATAAATGACATGAGCAATTTGTTACAAGCTTTATTTATATTTGGAATTTTATTGTTTTAGTTAATCATTTATAGCACATTTGCGGTAAGTGTTTTCTAAAATGATATTTTACGTAATGAAATAGAAAATTCATATATTTACAACTTAGGATGAAGAAATTAAATACGTATAAGTTTTGTTATATATATATATATATATATATATATATATATTTATATATATATATATATAATATCGCAATTAAATTTTAAAATATTTATTTTTACATTATTGATCAAATAATTTTTTACAATTTATTGGACGTTCTTATGGTTATAGAATTGTTAGGTATGGATTTTAAGTGTACAAGCGTATAAATTACATTTACCAACATAATAGTATTTTGATTTTAAATTTCGAAACATGTTAAAGATATTTAGAAAACCTTGGAACTGTTAAATGTCTAATAATTTGGTCTAGATTCAGAAATAAACAAAGCTGTCTTTTTGATTTAAAAAATTCGTTGATGCATAAAAATTTGGATATATGATATTTGAGGCTTGAAATTCTTCGATTCTAATTTTTACATAGGTATAAATTCCAGGTATAAATATTGAAAACATATATACTCTATTTATAGGCGTTTCCGGCATAAATATCTCAGAGGTTGTTGGAGTATCATTAGAATTATTTTTCGGGTTTTTATAAACTAAAACTAAGATTAATAAGATTATAGTTAAGACAACTCCAATTCCAGTTCCAATATATAAAATGAATTTTATTCGATTGTGATCACCTAGTATCATAATAATTTTGTATGTCAAGAACGTAAATACTATTCATTATTATATAAATGAAAACATGATTAATATAAAACATTGTTATAAAACTATTCAGACTACCGTAAAGTGCCGTATACAAGATCCGGGTCTGTTACATTCCACCAATTTTTAAACCATATAGTAGACCCCGGGTCTAGTATACGCTGAGAGGTTATATCATGAAAGGGAAAATTTTAAAGTGCATACACACTTTGTATTTACAATAGGCAGTCTAGCTATTTAAAAAAAGCCGTATTTGATTAATATAGATTTTGTGGTTCGTGCCCGGGTCTAATTCATGGTGGATCTACTATTTGGGAGGATCTTGTATACGGCACTTTACGGTAGTCATCAATCATAGTTATATTATAAATTATAATGAAATAAGTATTTTATATAATATTTCAAATGATTTGATTAATAATAATAATAAAAGCAAAAATAAATAACCCAATTACGAAATTGAATGCAGTAATTCATTGTACCAGAACTTGATGCTAAACTTGAGGCAATTATACTTGTTGCACTTACAGGAATGTTGCTTGATATTTAAAAAATAAGAAATTAATATCATGCTTTTCATACGAAATTTTTTAAGAAAAAAATTACCTAGTACTATTTGATACAATTGATGAAGCTGTCGATAGTGACTTTGTCGAAGGTGTTGTTGGAAAATATTCCAATGTAGTTAACGAAAATTCTGGTTGTGATGGTGGAGATACTGGTGTCACGGGTTAATCAATGACTTTCGTCAAAGTATAACCTAACCCGGATGGTAGGGCACTAATAATTAGGCATTAAGCGAACCGAACTCAATAAGGCAAGTATTTTATTAATTACTCGAATGAACTTTATTAATTAAGAGCGAGACTAATACTAACTCTAAATATTATTACATTCGCTTCGTTTATATGCACACTTCGGGTCACATTACTTACATCATAATTTGCTCATACGCCATACGATCGTTTGACTCTTATATTACTGTAATTGATCTTATTAATGATTCCTTAAAATTATCATGGTACCTTACCCCGTCATTTATTAAGTTACCGATCGTTCATAATTGATCATTTCGATGACCTCATAATTCTGATCGATCATATTGCTTATTACCTTATTTCCATACATGACATGTTTACCGCATACTGTATATCACATGACACTGGTGGTGCTTCTGTTGTTGTTGATGGTGTTATTTCTGTTGTTAGTGATGGCGGTGGCATTTCTGTAGTTGGTAATGGAGATGGTGTTGGTAGTACTTTCGTTGTTGGTGATGCGGGTATCCGTAAAATAAATCACAGTATCAGTAGGATATGTATAACATTCCGTGATTAATGTAGACGCAGTAAATTTCTTATGTGGTAACATATGTTGTAACGACTGTACTTAATTCTCAGTTATGCTAATTCCTTATGCTAACATGATTGTTGGCAATTTTGTTGGGACGGATAGCTGTTACTATTCCACTTATTCCAAGAATAACTGTCAATATAAATATTTTCTTAATATAATAGGTCATCATTTTTATTTAAATTATACAATTATATAGATTTTTTTTTTTTTATAAGAAAAAAACCAAAATCAGGCCATGAATCTGTATTTATATAAAACTTGAATCAACTTGCAATCTTTGGATATAATCACAACGTGTGTTTTCCAACAGAGGAAATTTATTCGTTTTGGTGAAATGTTACTTATATCTTTCTAGCTTATCATTAACCTTTTTTTTGTTATTATTGTTAGCGTTGACCTTAAAGGATTAATTTTATTATCAATAAAATGACAGATCATTACATGTCATCAACACATATTATACGTAATGCCAGTAAATAAAATTGAAAACAGGTTTGCAGGTCTTCTATATAAAAAAGCTTTGTAGGTATAGTATATATTATAATGCTCATCAAATATATATAAATTATCTTGTCTACAAAACTAAAATACTTAAAGATATTAGAGACTTTAATACAGTACTTTCTTAATGTATTTTATTTGAGTTAAATTACGTATTATCACAACCGTATTAAAAGACGATATGATAGTACATTCATGCTGTAAAAATAATGTATGAACATATGATGAGTATTATTGGCAAAAAAGTTTTCATTATTAAGAAATTTTAAATGAAACCTCTTTTTTTTGTTAATGTTATATTTTTAAATCAATGTACGAAACATTTTAAAAGATAAACAGATTTACATCTTTGACTGTTTTAGATTTTGATAAATTTTTGTTATATACAGAAGTGTCATTTAAATTCCCTTGCGCTTTTTAGCAAACACTTACTTATATCACCTTGACTTTATAAGTTCAATCTGATTGTAAAATTAATCATGAAATATATCTATGTCGTGCCTGAAGTTGACATTTGCCTGAAGTTGCACTTGACTGAAATTAACCCTGAAATTAACCCCTGAAATTAGATCATCTTGCATGCATTAATTAGTAATTTTAGGTAATTTTAGGCAATTTTAGGCAATTGTAACTTCAGGCGCCTGAAGTTACAACTTCAGGCACGACATCTATATTAATTCACACGGTAAAAAAATTAAAGAGTATTGTTCAAATTTTAGGAATTAGGTCTTTTGAACTTTTAATACGACTGTGTTATTTTTGGTATTCATATTGCTATGTAAATATATGCATATCTCAAACAAACAATTTTCTTTTCTTTTGATGTTTAACTAATCATTATTAAACTTAACAATAGTCAAAGCTCAATCTCAAACTCAACTTGATGCTACAAGTGTATATATTGTTACTATTACTCTTTCAACAAATCCAAATAGGTTTGGAGAACCATCGTTCTCAATTAATAACCTAAAGTCTTTAATTATTACTGCTTCATGTGTTTGTGGAATTATTGTAATTACAATAATTATATGCATAATTAGAAAGCTAAAGTATAAAAGCCGTAAATATAAAGACAAAAGTAATTATTATGATAGTTCTCATCATGTTAATAAAAAAGGGCATACAAATAATAGTGGTGCTGAACAAACGAATAAACCAAACGGAGATGGCGATAAAAATACTGGACATAGTGGTGGTGGCGATACTGGTGGTGATATTGGCGGTGTTGTTGACAGTGAACAAAGTCATAATGGTCATAACCAAAGTAGTATTAATCAACAAACCTTATATGATGCTTCACCAGCTTTACCTTTTATAATTAATAATAAAGAAGAGGAAGTAAAAGAAGGTTTAAAAGAGACAAACGAGACGGATATTATTTTGAAAATTCAAAGTTACAAATAACAGCAATCATCGTAAATCACAACTATTAAATACAAGCGCAAATGAAGCATTTGAACTTGATCAGGATAACACTTCGTAAGCTTTATTAATATAACGGTTTAGGATATACATTCATCTTTCATATAATTACAATTGGAAGAATACATAGTACTGTAATTTTATTTAAAATGTGCTTTTATAGAGAGGCTTTTTTTTACGAATTAATTCATAGTTTTATTTATTAATAAATATCTCAAATATTCTGACATATACAAGAGTACAATATAAAACATATTAATTTGAAAATGCATATAGCATACAGTTTTTTTGTTTGTTTTTTTTTTGTTTGAGCAAAGATTAACATTTCACAATTATATTTTGAATTAGAATCAAGATTGTAGTAACTAAAATTTCCAGGCAACCAATGCAGATTTGAATTTTACTATGAATCCAAATAGTAATAATTCTAGTATTTGACGTACTATAAAATTTAATACATTCGAGTTTTCTATTGCTAATCTTGTTTAGTAAAAAATATATAAATACATTTCAGAAAGATTTGAAAAATAATTTGTCTTGACCAATAAATCAATCTAGAATTCGTTATGCACAATATTGCAATAATTAAAACTATTATAACTAATAATATGTTACTATGATAATGATATTTGGCTTCCATTTTCTTGCTATCATTACGGTGCCTTAAAATATGCACATTTCCCCTATAATGGATAGCATTATTAAAATTTCCTTCTTTGAATTGCTTGTGTCTACAATGTGTACTAAATGCAAAATTTTCACTGCTACAAGTCTATAATTGAGTAACATTAACGTTCATAATATTAACATTAATATAGTCTCATTTTTTGTCATTATATGTATACTATATCATATGATAATTCAGCAACTGGTGAGAAACCTGTTTGTAAATGGTGTTTTTAAATTGGAAAATCACTCTACATGTGCATGAAGAATCTTAACAAAGGTAATTATAACAATGCTAACCCAGCCTAAAATAGTAAATCAGTTTAATCGAAATTCATTTGTTCTGTTACATCTATCGTAAATGGGATACTCCAGATTAATAAACATCGATATAAATTTTTTTATTTTTTAACTAATGCGGTAAATAGCACGAAACGCCACCTATCTTATTCAGCTCTTATTATTATTGCTTTATATTAAATTATGAAGCGTCGTAAGTGTTTACAAACCTATATGGTTTTAAAGTTTACATGCTATGTATTGCTTTAAATAGTTGGTAAATAGGTTGAAAGTTTGCTTTCTTATTTGACTTGTTAAAAGCAGCATGATTTTTCATGTTATCTTATAGGCAAACTTGCCAGTTAATTTTATGATTGATTTGTCATTAAGCTAATAAGTTATATTGAATTGTAGTTATTGCCGTTTTTAGGACCAGTGTCTCGATCCACAATCCGACTAATTCGGATTGATCCGATAATTCGTTAAATCCGGATATTATTATCCGTCAATTTTAAACGGATAGATCTGTAATATATTTTGGATCGAGGAAAAGGATTATTCGGATCATAATCTTATTAGATTAACCCTATCATGGTTCTGAAATGTCGATGCTGATGGACAGAAAATGGGATTTAATATGAACGACCACTGCCACCCTACCGGTAATTAAAATTTTTTTTTTTAAATGGGGGGTTTTTTTTTTTGATAAAAAATAGAAAATTTATATACCAAAAATTTTGATCTTCTATGCGTCTGTCTGTGGCACAGTTCCTTTATACAGTATTTGCTCTGCATCATGTTCGAGAGGTGCATCAAATTGAAATGCATATCATGAATATAATAGCGAAGACAAAACATACAAACACTAAGCATTATATTGTTTGAATTCTTACAATAATATATGCTATTTCAATTTAACAATTATAGAGATTCATTTAGTTCTCATACCAAAAGTCTATCATCAAAAGAAAATCAATAAAGCAGCAAAATTTTTTTAATTAATAGATATTGTATTATACTGCATCAGCGCATGTTTCTATTTTCATCGATGAGTTAAATATAAAGATTATTTTAAGTACCATATTGAATAATTACTATTGCACATGTGAATTATGTGAATTATTTACAGAAACTAGCTAATTTTGCTAAATATATTTAAAATATAAATAAACCTAAAAAATAGGTTTTTGATAATGTTATCTTAATAATATGTAATATTAGGCAAAGAATATTTTTTGTTAGTAAACAAAAATAGTTTCATAATAAAAATTTGTAGTTATAAACGATTTTTAATTATTTTAATTTTTTTATATGATAAATAATTCTATATTTAATAAATAAATTGCTTAACAAATGACTATTATTTATAATAACAAATAAATTCACTATTATCACTATTCATTTATTATTTTTATTTATTAAAAAATATGGTTAATATATATTTAATATATTTTGATTATATTGATTTTTTTTTTTATAAGGTTGTTGAGATATCTTCACTCAAAGTTAAAGAAAAAATATGGCATAGTTTTATTTTGATATTTATTTTGTTTTTTTTCTAACTTTGAACAAAGGATATCTCGATAAACACTTGACTGAATCCGATGAAATTTTTTTTATCTGGATTCTATGAATCATAGAATTCAAATAAAAAAAGCTTTATCAAACTTGGTTAGATGGTTGTCAAGATATCCGCTAAACGTTTTGAAAAATTTTTTTTTTTATCAAAAATGTAGGTGTAGGAGCATTAAAAATGAAAGGCTTGCCCCTCTAAGGTAGTTACTGATCATCATTTATATCACATGCAAGTTATCAGTAAAATAAATCTTTCAAGACTTTGAGCGAAGATATAACAATAATTATCTAACTATCGATTCATAAAATTAGAATAAAAATGTTTCATCGAATTTGGTCAGGTAGCTGTTGAATATATTTGCTCAAAGTTAGAGAAAAATCAAAACACCTATCAAATAGAAGCGCACCAAATTCTTTTTAAAACTTT